CAACTTTGTGTGAAATATTTTTGTCTTTCAAAGTTTGACTATACACCTTCTTATTTTTAGTATTTAGTATTTAGTATAATATAATATAATTATTACTTAGTATTTAAATAATTAGATATTTAATGATATTTTAATTTAGTGTGAGGGTAATATGGTAATTCAACTTTGCATATTGGAGCTTCCCAATTATAATAATAATATGATGATTATCTCAGCTCATTTGTTTAATGAGATTCAAATTAGTCCTTTCTTTTTCCAAATTGGATATGCACCTTAATTGAGTATACTCTATCTCCTAATGTTGTGCTGCATGAAAATCATAGTTTAGGTCTGGAATGATATTTCTACTCGAAACACTATTTATGTATCCATCCTATAATTATTTTCTTAATTTACTGTCGCCATTCTTTTTTGTTCTTTCACTCCTTGCTACCCTAAGGAAACTAAAGACCAATAGAGACTTTGTACAGTTGCGAAATCTGCTTGACCCCTTTTACATGGTTGATACTTAACTTTAAAAAAAGAAAAAAAGAACCAACAGAACGTGCAACAGCCAAGAGTTAAAAGAAATGTCATTTATATATAACATTCTTGTTAACAGGCCTCCCTCTAGACCATTTTCTTTGGTTTCCCTGAACTATTAGTCTATGTGTAAGGCTAAACAGATTTTATTTATGCGGCATTTATTGCAATTTTGGCTTAAAATAAAATAGTATTGAAGTGTTCTGTGGATGCTCAATTCTCAAGCCATATGGTTCTGCAAGTACAGTTTATGGAATTTAGTATTACCATCATATTTTACAAGTCCTCAATTAGGATGCAATATTATATTATGGTTTTCCTTTTCTTTTTTTGAGAAAGAAAATCGACTTATTAGTCACTAGATTTGTTTTGTATATATGAAGGAATTAATTACAGGAGATTAGAAATGATCATATTCAAGGAATTAGTACAAGTGACCTACAAATACATTGAACAATATGCGTTGTTATGGTGATCGAAACTTTTTAAAGGAAACGAGATAGACTTAAAATTACATTAAGATTGGTTTAAAAAATGTACAATTGTTTACATAGACTCTGCCTATATTTAAACTTTGGTAGACTTTTCTTTTATATAGGAAATATCTCATAGAAATTCTATAGATGCTAAGATTAGGTAAATATTGTTAGATTACTCAATTAGAGCGAGTTACGTACATTAGACTTGACAAATGCCTAAGTATCTAATTATGTCTGTTTCGTAACATATTTATTGCATTGTGCCAAGGAGGAATAATTCCTTAAGGATTGTGTATCGTTTTCGTTTTTGATGTGATAACATAAATGTATGGTCCTAAGGAATACAAATATTATGCTTCAAAACAACTAATATGTAATATTATAGTGCCATGGTAGAAGGCTAATGAACTGGAGGTATTGTTAGAGAGTATTTTGAAAGTATGACATGTATATCGTGAGAATATAGCAACCTGTAGAGGTTTTGTGGCCATACAATAGAGATCTAGCAACGCATTTTAGGCACAAATCTTTGGTGTTGGATGTATATCGTTAGGTTGTGTAGAGCCAAATCTTCTTACCTTTTTTTTTTTTCATTGCAGAAGCTTTGATGAGCTAGACTCTCTCTTTTGTTTGGTCTTCTCTTCAATATAAGGTTCAAATGTAGTGGTTTGGATACATTAGCCAATTATTCTATTGTTTCTTGTTCCATTTTGAAATAAATAGTGTCAACTATAAAAGTCAGCATAAGAGTACTGTTATAGTTTTATTTCTCTGTAATTACCAGTACAGTCTACAAAGTCATTAAGTTTCTTCTCTATACCAAAATAGTAGACATTTTTACCTTTGTAAGAATACTGATGTCTCACTCTAGAAATATGATAATTTTTTGTCTCTTTGATTCGGACCTCTATTCATGATTGTCATTAAGTGACGAGATCCTAACTAAATTTTCCATTCTTATATGTTTAACATTAATGGTAGATAGTATGAACCATGGGGATGTTATCTCTTTGATGTTTTGGATGAATTTCGCATTGTGTCTTATTGTATGTACAATTTTTTGTTTGAATATATGAACAGGAACATATTGTTTTAAGTGGGAATGTCTGTCTACCCCAGATAAGCTCGAAACAAAAATGCTGCTTAATTTACTCTAAAAAGAAAAATGTTGTACAAGCTGTTGCAGTTCATGATTGCCAAAGCTCCATGGTATCTACTGCCTGGGATTGGACAAGAACAATTGTGTATTTCCAAATCGGGATTTATCCTATTTATTTACTTATTTATATCCTTTTCTTAACCATAAAACTCAAACTCAAAGAACAAATCATAGGAAGATACTGTTGGAACTCTTAACCTTTTTGTCATTGTTATATCCTTATGAGCCATGATCACGCGAAAACGAACATGTTAGTCAAATGACTCTTGTCCATTTGTTTTCTTCAAGTTAATTACATCTTTGTTTGTGGCATATCCTGTGAAATGCCAACGACTAATCGTTTTGCTATGAAAATAGCCATATTTTTTTTTTACAAGTTTTTGATTCTTACGTCTATTTTGAATCTTGATTTAGGTGGCTTTGTCATTTCAATTTTTATGAGTGCTTCTACAATGGTTCATCATATATACGGCACACCACATACCCTTCAAAACTTATGATGAGAACATTGCTGCTTCCTTTTTTCTTTTCCATCTAATTCTTGATCAATATGAAAATTGATATACTCGGCTCATAATTTAATGTATTCACTTGTAATATCAAAGTTTAACATGCAAAAATGGGTATCTTTCTTCATGTATTGTAATACTAATTTACTTTATTTAATTACAGATGGTTTTCAAAGCATAAAAAAAATTTAACCACTTCAAAAATAAAATGTTAGGCCCGTGTAGCACGGGCCATGCTTATCTAGTTACTATACTCTATAGAAATGTGATGAGGAGGACGATCAAGGGTAAATCAATTATTTAGCTTAATCAAATATCTATACTTTTTGTTACACGTGTCACTCAATGCACCAAGATCACTTTATTACCACACAAACACTCAACTTTATTCTAGATGCATCCTCTCCATTGGATTTTTCTTACTTCTATTATTTAATTAAGCCGAAATGGTCTAATAGACCTTTGTACTTGTATGAGTTTGTATTGTGAACCATTCTACTTAACTCTTTATCAATTGAACCCTTAAACTTAATAAAACACAACTTATCAAACCCCTCTAACCATTGACTAGGCTTATGTGGCATCAAGATGGTTGAGTTGGCAAAAATGCGTGAATTCATTCTCATTAAGGCGAGTGACTATCATATTTAAGCTAAAAAAATATTTAAAAAATAGAAAAATAAAACAATAAAATAATGAAACTTTTAAAAAGAACGGAAAAGGGTCAAAATTGCCCCTGAACTATGCGAAATAGACCACTTATACCCTCCATTACATTTTGGGTATCAAAAATACCCCGCCGTTATCCCAGGAGACCACAAATACCCCTCAAGAGTTAACACCCCAAATTTTTAGTGACGTGGCAAGCCACATGAGACTAATCCCTCCACCTAAGCATTGTCAACTAAGATTCACTACAAAAGAACTTGACCTTTAGTGGCGACAAAGTCACCACAAATTCCCCAAAATATTGCCACTAAAAGTTATGAGTGATTTTTAGTGGTCGACTAAGGCTCTAACAACCATTCGCTAGCAAAACCTATTTTTTCAACAAAAAAATATGATAATTAATTTTTGATTGCAACCTAATTTTCTAAAATAAATAACTTGCAATAATCAATATTAAAAACATAACAATATTATTACGAAAAATCATCAAAATTACTTCTCGATTCAAATCTCCTACTATATAATGCACCATTCTACATTTTTTACATTTACATATGACATAAAAATAAAACATATAGTGTCTTCAAACTCCTACTTAATCGATATCATTTTTTATTTTTTAAAAACAATGAAGAAAAATTTAATGTTAAAAACTTTTAGTGATGGTTTTCTGGACTTTTGTGGCGACTGTTGTTGCTGCTAAAAGTCTAGTTCTTTTGTAGTGAATCCTAGTTGGCAACGCTAGGTGGAAGGATTAGTTCCCACGTGGCTTGCCACGTCAATAAAAATTTGGGGTATTAACTATTGAGGCTATTTGTGGTCTCTTAAGATAATAGAGGGGCATTTTTTATACCAAAATGTAACGAAGGGTATAAGCGGTCTATTTCACATAGTTCAGGGACAATTTTGACCCTTTTTCGTAAAAAGAATTACAGTAACTTAAAAAAGCTTTCTTCCTCAGCCCATCAGCCCACCTCCATTTTTAGCCATCTCCATCTCATCTCTATCCCTGTCCGATCCATTTTTATTTCTTCTTCCCACTCGTCGGGCGGAGGGAGAGCCGCTTGGGAGCCTGCAGGGGCCTCACAGTATTTGGAGGTAAAGTAAAATAATTGTATTAGTTAGAGATTCACAATATAGGAATTTTATCTATCTGCTTCATTTCAAGGTTGTTAACAGCATTCAACTTCTTCTATAGTCATGCATCCAGAACCTGAATATGTAACTTTCTTGTTGTGTTATATTCACTGACAGTTTCTCAATCGTACTGAACTTTTTGCGAACATTGTCATTGAGCATGAGTAAGATTCTGTCAAAACCCTATTTATAGACACTATAATACAATTCTTTACCAAGTAGGAGACTATAAACTATTCATATTCTAACAACATCTTCACACTGATTACATGTCAACCCAGGTATGTTGAGTGCACTGGCGCGTCAATCCAAGCACTAGTTCTGTTTAAAAAGCTATACCCTGGACACCGGACCACAGAGATTGACAATTTCATTGATAATGCTGTTAAATATCTTGACGATGTACAGAAGCCTGATGGTTCATGGTTTATGATATTTTTCTTGCGAGTCCTTGAACTTTCTGCTCTACCGATACATATGACACGATTAATCATGTCAACAGGTATGGTTCCAAGGGTGTGTGCTTTACATATGTTTCCTGGTTTGCTCTTGGAGGGCTTGCTGCAGCAGGCAAGAGTTACATCAACTCTGCAGCTGTTCGTAAAGGCGTTGAATTTCTGTTACGAAGACAAAGGTCTGATGGTGGTTAGGGAGAAAGCTACCATTCTTGTCCTGACAAGGTAGCACAAAAGCTACGTAAAACAACAATAACTACACCTACATCTTAATTTGTGCATTGTTAAGGTCGTATATATGATATGTTGCTCAGAATGTCACTTGGTGTGTGTCAGATCCTCCAAAAGTTATGCATTTTTGGAAGATCTGCAACAACATTTTTGGAGAGTCCATGCAACATAGTAGGTTATATGAACTATGCACATGCATCCTACTCCATTTGGAGCCGTTTCATTCCAATACTGAATATTTTAAGTCTTAAGTTTTCTATTGACATGCATTTTTACCCTTAAAGAATAGGATGAAGTATAAAGATATCTGGAAAAGATAACTGTGACTTAGCTTTGTATTTGATCAAGAACACTCAAATCTTGTACAAACTGCATGGGCATTGATGGGATTGATTCACTCTAGCTAGGTTAATTCCTTGTTAGTATTAGTAAAAGCATAATACATAAACATCACTCAAACTTGCTCTCAATTGACAATTAAGCACTACAACTTTGAGAGTGCACATCTAGGCACTTCTACTCGTTTCCACTGTGTCAGTTGAACACTTCAACTTACAAAACGATCATCTAGACACCTTCAAAATTTATGTGCCACGAGACACAACGAAGACGAGTTGGAGTGTTTAGTTTCCAGTTGAGACCAAGTTGAGGTGTCTAGATGTGACCTTTCAAAGTTGGAGTGCTTACTTGTAGGTTGAAGCCAAGTTTGAAGGTTTGTTTATGTATCATGCCATTAGTAAATGTTGTAATTTATAACAAAATCAGAGTAGAACTTTTTCTTTATAAGAGTTCTTTACCAACTTTCCTTTGGGCAGGTTGATAGAGATCCAAGACCCCTCCACCGTGCGGCTAGGCTTTTGATTAATTCTCAAATGGAAGATGGTGACTTCCCACAACAGGTAATTACTCTGTAAATTACAAGTTAAACAAAGGAGAAGATTCTTTGACCGTTAAAAGAACAAGCTGTTAAAGTACTAGAACGAAATTGACTGTAGTTAAACAAAGCGAATAAAGATGATTCATATAGTCGACTTTAAACAATCTGGTCATATTTGAATGATATTTGATTAATGGAAAAAAGTTTAAATATGCCATCGAACTTTCAGTAAAGAGTGACACAAATGTGGACTGTTGTCACGGTGATGACATAAATAGCCCAACTATTAACATATGGCATGGCTGAGCCATTTCTAAAAGTCCAATGACATGTTTGAACTTCTTTCTTTGATTAGTTAATATAAAGAAACAATCCCTTTCAAACTGGCAAAACAATTTCTCAAAGAACAGAGATTGCTAAAACCAGTTTTATCAAAATATTGCACTTATTTGACTTCATAAATATGTGCAGGAAATAACTGGAGTTGTCATGAAGAATTGCATGTTGCACTATGCAGCATATAGAAATATATTTCCCTTGTGGCCTGTGGGGTTTGGCTGAATACCGCAAAAATGTCCAAGTACCATTAGAACATATTGAGAATGAATATTATTAACATGCATTTATACTTATTGGTCAGTTATGATAGTTAGCCTTAGTGATTGTTAGCCTGATTAGTTACAGCTGGTAGTAGTTAGTTACTAGTTTGTTAGATTGCTAAGTGCAGTATAAATCCACATGTACTCATACGCTTTCATTTGAGAAGTTTTATTCAAGTAAACAAGTTCTATTTTTCTTCTCCGCCATTGATGCTCACTTTAGGGCTTGTAATTGGATCGTCAATTGCTGCGTTTTGATATGGTATCAGAGCCATTGTCGCTTACTTCCAGTTTGTAAGTCTGTTCGTTCCCTATATTCGATTAACGTCGATTTTTGTATTGCTTTACTTGCTTCCGCTGATCCTACAATGGCTGTTTCTCTCGATGAACCTGCATCTTCTTCCGCTTCCACTGTTACTGGTTCTATTGATCCAAACAATCCTCTATACGTGCATCCTTCACATAGCCCTGCACTAATGCTTGTTCCCGTTCCTTTTGATGGAATGGGATATCGATCCTGGAGAAGGAGCATCATGCGATCTCTCTCAGTGAAAAACAAATTAGGCTTTATTAATGGTGATTTCCCAAAGCCTACTGCAAATTCTCCTCAATTGCGTCTTTGGCAAAGATGCGATGATATGGTCACATCGTGGATCCTCAATTCTCTTGCTAAAGATATCGCAGATAGCGTTGAATACGTTACTGATTCGGTTGAATTGTGGAAGGAATTGGAGGATCGATATGATCAAACTAATGGCGCGAAGTTATACCAAATTCAGAAAGAGATTAATGATCTAACTCAGGGTGTTCTGGACATTACTTCTTACTATACTAAAATGAAGAGATTGTGGGAGGAACTTAGTAATCTAAATGCCAACAATCAGTGCACCTGCACATGTCTCTGTGGAGCCAAGGATGGTACACACAAAGCTGAACAAGACAGGCGTTTGATTCAGTTTCTAATGGGCCTTAATGAGGTTTACACCGTTATCAGGGGCAGTGTCCTCATGATGAGTCTTTTGCCTTCAATGGCACAAGCCTTTTCCATCTTAATACAGGAAGAAAAATAGAGGGAATTTAAGCCAAAAGGCCAGATGTTGATGGAATCTGCTTCCTTGAATGCAGGAAGTCACTCTACAGGGAATTACTCTGCTGGTGCAGGCCCTTCAAACTCAAAAGGTTTTAAAACTAACTATTCTGCAGGAGGCAGCAGTAGCATGACTAGTACAAGCAAGTCAAATTTGTTCTGTGACCATTGCAAGAGGTCAGGACACATCATGGCAAAGTGCTACAAGCTGCATGGATATCCTCAGGATACTCAGAATCAGACCTATGGAAGGAATGGATACAACAATAACAATGAGTATAGAAACCCTCCAAGGCAGAATCAAAGCAACAATCCCAGGTTTAACAAAGGAAAAAGGGTAGCAACTAATGTTCATGGATCAGATGTGTTTTCTGGAAATGATGAATACATTGACAAAGGAAATCAGCCTATGAGCCTCACCAGGGAGCAATATGGGCATGTGATGAATTTGCTTCAACACTTTCATGGTGGAGAAGCCTCCAGTAGCAGTAATAATCCCACAGAAGGAGCAGTAGACCTTGCAGGTATTGTGGTTTGTAGCTCTTCTTTAGATTTTGACAAATTTTCATGCAAACATTTTGACTCCAAAGCTGACTTGTGGATCATAGACTCAGGAGCTTCCAACCATATGACTTTTAACAAAACATTATTGACAAATCGTAAGACCCTACCATATCCACTACTTGTTTCTCTTCCAAATGGATACAAGGTAAAGGTGACACAAGTTGGTGATGTGATACTTACATCTAGCATCATTCTGCACAATGTGTTGTTTATGCCCTCTTTCAAATATAATTTGATTTCTGTCCATTCTCTAACAATACATCTTAAATGTGTTGTGTCTTTTACTGATGCCTTATGTTTATATCAGGCCCCTTCACTGAAGAGGCCTCAGGTAATTGGTAACAACAAGGATGGACTTTATTTCATGTGCACAAAGTGTCTCAAGACTGATTTCCAGCCTGAGCATTGCTCTTCTAAGCCTGAGAGTTGCTCTTCTAAGAATTGTTCACCTGTTTCCAATTCTCATGCTTCATTCAATTCTTTTAATTCTTGTCATCTGCAAAGTACTGTAATGAATCCTATCTCATGTAATAAAAATGAATTGCTTTCTATGACTTCTTGCTTATCTCATGGAAATAATGTAGATCTATTGTGGCATACTAGACTAGGACATGTTCCTTTTGCCAAGATGAGAGGAATATCATCCATACCAGCAAAGTTTTCCCACAAACAACCTTTTCTGTGTTCAGTGTGCCCCCTTGCTAGACAAACAAGACTTCCTTTTAGCCAAAGTACCAGAATTTCAACTAAGATCTTTGAACTACTCCACATAGATTTATGGGGCCCTTATCATGTAGCTACTTATAACAATTACAGATATTTCCTGACTATGGTGGATGATCATAGTAGAACCACTTGGACTCACCTCCTAAGTTGTAAGAGTAATGCTCTGCAGACTATTAAAGCATTTATTACCCTAGTTGAAAATCAATTTTCTACTACTGTCAAGACCATTCGATCAGACAATGGTTTAGAATTTACTAGCAATGAGGCCTCCCTTTTCTTTCAATCAAAGGGCATAATCCATCAAAGGACTTGTCCCTACACACCACAACAAAATGGTATAGTAGAAAGGAAACACAAATACCTTCTTGAGACAGCAAGGGCTCTGTTGTTTCAATCTAAATTGCCCACTAAATACTGGGGAGAGTGTGTGTTAACAGCCACATACATCATTAATAGACTCCCTAGTTCTTACTTGAATAACAAATGTCCTTTTGAAATCCTGCACAAAACACAACCAGATTATTCCTCCTTAAGGAGCTTTGGCTGTTTATGCTACCCAACTGTACCAAAAGTCCATAGAGGCAAATTTGAACCTAGAACTGGCCCTCATATCTTTATAGGATACCCTTTTGGTACCAAAGGCTACAAGGTCCTATGTCTAACCACAAAAAGAATACATATTTCTAGAGATGTGATTTTTCATGAGAATGTATTTCCTTTTGCATTACGTACACATAAAGGCACTTTTCCATCTGTTTTACATTCTATTCCTTTTGTAGAAACAAACATTGACATGCATGATGTTGTAGATTGTAATGTTCCTAATGCCAATTTGTATCAACCTTGCCCTATGCCATACCTACCTAATGATAATACCATCATTGAGTCTTCTTCCTTGCCAGTTCCTACACCACAACCAATAAATCCAATAAGGAAATCCCATAGAACTCCACAGGTTCCCTCGTACTTAAGTGATTACATCTGCTCTTTACCCTCACTTAGAAACACCAATGCGACATCAGCCCTCACTCCTATATTACCTCTTCATACTGTTTTCTCAAACAATAGTCATATTGCTCCTGATAATCTGAGTCCTAATAGTCAGCTACTTGTTAAAAATGTCTGTCATGATCATGAGCCATCATCTTTTGAGGAAGCAGCCCTTTATCCTGCTTGGCAAGCTGCAATGACACAAGAGTTTGAGGCTCTTCATAACAACAAGACTTGGGATTTGGTTCCATTACCAATAGGTAAGAAAACCATTGGATGTAGATGGGTGTACAAAATAAAACATAAGGCAGATGGAAGTGTGGAGAGATATAAAACCAGATTGGTAGTGAAAGGGTACACTCAACAAGCAGGGATAGATTACACAGAGACCTTTTCTCCTGTTGTCAAGATGACAACAGTGAGAGCATTGATTGCTACTACGGTAAAGAGAGGTTGGGACATTTTCCAACTAGATGTGAACAATGTCTTCTTACATGGAGATCTTCATGGAGAAGTATACATGGACTTACCTCCTGGTCTTGAAGTAGCTGGTACCACTACAGTGTGTAAATTGAACAAGTCTTTGTATGGATTGAAGCAGGCCAGTAGACAATGGTACGAGAAACTATCAGCTGCTTTGTTTTCGAAGGGGTACAGTCATTCCATGAGTGACTATTCACTGTTCATAAATAAATCCAATCAGTCCTTTATTTTTGTCGCAGTATATGTAGATGATGTGATTATTACTGGAACTGATCCACTAGAAATTCAGCACCTTAAGTAGTTCCTTCATGATACTTTCAAAATAAAGGATCTTGGCAAGGTTCATTATTTTTTGGGCTTAGAGGTGTTGTATAGAGATGGAGGTGTCATAATATCTCAGAGAAAGTTTGTCTTAGATCTCCTAAAAGAATATGGTTGCATTGAATGTTCTAGCTTTTCCTCACCACTTGATCCTAATGTCAAATTGAAGGCCAAGGAAGGACCTGCTCTTCCTGATCCCACATTTTACAGAAAGCTAGTAGGAAAGTTGAATTTCCTTGTCAACACTCGATTGGACATAGCATATGGTGTTCAACATCTGAGCCAGTTCATGCAAGATCCTAGGGAACCTCATTTACAAGCTGCCTATCATTTGCTCAGATATCTCAAAGGTGATCCAACTTTAGGGATTTTTATGTCTTCACAACCAGACTACTCAGTTCATGCTTATTGTGACTCAGATTAGGCATCATGCCCTGATTCTAGAAAATCCGTTTCTGGTTATCTTGTTTTTCTGGGACAAACACCTATTAGTTGGAAATCTAAGAAACAAGAGGCTATATCTCTATCTTCAGCAGAAGCAGAATACAGGTCTTTGAGAAAAGTTGTTGGTGAACTCGTTTGGGTGGATAGACTTCTGCAGGAATTAGATGTTCCTTTTTCAAAACCAATTGCAATACATTGTGATAGCCAGTCTGCCTTACACATTGCGAAAAACCCAGTTTTTCATGAACGGACCAAACACATAGAGGTTGATTGTCATTTTGTTCGCAATAAGCTTCAGGATGGCCTTATCTCCTTGCATCATGTTGTCACCACAGAGCAATTGGCTGACCTACTCACTAAAGCACTGACTGGCATTAAGCAAAGTAGCATCATGTCCAAGTTGGCTGTGAAGGCCTCACATCCTACTTGAGGGGGGGTATTGAGAATGAATATTATTAACATGCATTTATACTTATTGGTCAGTTATGTTAGTTAGCCTTAGTGATTGTTAGCCTGATTAGTTACAGCTGGCAGTAGTTAGTTACTAGTTTGTTAGATTGCTAAGTGCAGTATAAATGCACATGTACTCATACGCTTTCATTTGACAAGTTTTATTCAAGTAAACAAGTTCTGTTTTTCTTCTCCGCCATTGATGCTCACTTTAGGGCTTGTAATTGGATCGTCGATTGCTGCGTTTTGATAGAACACAACTAAATATATATTATATTATGTCTTAAGAAATAAATAATGTAGTTTATTGTTTCTTGTGTTAATGTAAATTATGTAACAGTGTCCAAAATCATTGCGTAAGCTGTTGTTAAATATTTGGCATATATGCATAATATGTGTAATCAAGGATATCCTATTTTAAATATTTAGCTTAATTCTAGCCCATTTTATAGATTTTCTTTAGTTTAGATTTATTACTAGATCTTTACTTGATATTTTATATGGGTAAGGGTCCTAGGAGACTAGTCCCAAGATGAGGTCGGGTCTAGGATCAGGGTTGAAGTCGATCCTGGATTAGGGTTGGATCTCGGGTCCTGACTCTTGAGTCAAGGTCGAATCTCCAATTTTGGGTCAAAGTCGGGGCTTGGTCTCAACTCGTGGTTGGATCTCGGTTCCCAAATTTGGGTTGGGTTTCAAATCGGGGTTAGGTTCGGATCTTGAGTTTAGGGTCAAAATAGAAGAATGTGATCATTGTTGTAAACAAATGGATGTCCATAGAGACCCATATTTACTGTAGCTTATTCATCTCTCCAAGTAATTTTACCTCTATAAAAAGGGACATTACATTGTAATGGAAATAGATATCCCTTTGAGAAGAAAACTACTTCTCTGCTTCTTTCTCTTCCTTTCTTCTTTTACTTTAATATTTTTATTTTAAAACACGTTATCAGCACAAAGCTCTAATTTTCTTTGGATAAATTAAATTTCTATTACATTGTTCATCATGTCAAACTTATCAAAGCTTGAGTTTGTGGTACTTGATATTACCGAAAAGAATTATTTGTCATAGGTCCTTGATGCTGAAATTCACCTTGACGCTAAAGGTCTTGGGGATACTATTAAACAAGAAAATAAAACATCATGTCAGGATAAAGTGAAGGCCATGATTTTTCTCCAACATCATCTTCATGAGGGATTAAAAACTGAATATTTAACTGTGAAAGACCCTCTTGAATTATGGATTAATTTGAAGGATTGATATGACCACCTAAAATTTATGGTGTTACCAAAAGCTCGATATGAGTGGCTACACCTTCAATTTCAAGATTTTAAAATTGTAACTGAGTATAATTCTGTTATTCATAAAGTAAGTTCCATATTAAAATTATGTGGAATACTATCACTGATGATGACTTACTTGAGAAAACATTTCCACTTTTCACGCTTCAAATGTGTTGTTACAATAACAATATCGTGAAAAGGGGTTTAGGAAATATTCTTAATTAATTACATGTCTACTTGTGGCTGAGCAGAATAATACTTTGTTGATGAAAAATCATGAAGTCTGTCCCATTGAGTCTGCTCCATTTCCTGAAGCGAATGTTGTAGCAACACATAATCAGTCTGAATCAAGAGAAAATAATTCTCGTGGACGTGGCCGTGGTCATGGCCATGATCGTAGATGTGGTAGAGGACGAAACAATTATCGTCATTATGGTGGAAATAAACATGAGAATAACAAAAATTCTCAAATAATCCTTCTCGAGGTAGAATCAATATTTGTCACTAATGTGGTATGAAAGGTCATTGGGCACGTGAATGTCGTATGCCTGATCATTTTGTGAAACTTTATCAAGCCTCTCTCAAAAGAAAAAATACTAATGTAGAGGCACACTTGACCTTTCAGAATGATAATAATGAAGCAGCTCCCTCAAATAAATATGATGATATTGATGCAAATTTTGCTTATCAAGATGATGACTTTGAAGGCCTCCCAAATATTACTCATCTGAAAGTTGAAGACTTTTATGAGAATATTGATTGAAGAACTAATCATCTAACTGGGAATAAAATTATAAGAATCATTGTTGATTTTCTATTATGTTTGCAACTATGTTGTTCTTCTTAAATGTTTTTCTTAAGGCATTATGTTTTACTAGTTTCTACATTTTTAGTATAATTTCTTAAAGTTTCTTATGTTGTTAGTTTTTTACGTTCTTATAATATCTTTTATTTTTATGAAGAATATAAAAATACCCCAGTCATCATATGGATTCAAAATCAATTATGATGATATATGTCTTATAGATAGTGGCACAACACACAATATTTTAAGAGATAAAGAAATATTTCTCTTATTTCACACTCTGTGATTCCACGCAGTTGAGGCGCGTGAGAGATATTTGCCTTAGGAGTTAAGCAAATGCAACTGTTGTTTAAAGCTTTCCCTTTGAAGTGTTCAACATGTTAAAGTATCGATAAACAACCGATGATGTTGGTTATCTTCGACATGTTCAAACATATAGTTGACCTGAAATTTGGTAAGATCCAGTCGTGTTGATGTAAATATATTGAATAAACCATATTGTTGTGCGATAGGTCAATAGATGACATGGCTTTCTTTGAGTCAGAGAAGATATCTATATGGTTGTTTGGTATAGATGACATAATTCATATGAGTCCAACATGATGCTTTCTGCAGTCCACTTAGCCGGGCCATCCTTTAGAAAGGATGTTCGATTACTCTTTGGCGCTGTTTATTTAGCTTGAATACAAGTTAATGCTTCCAAGTTTTCCGAGTTTGATCCCTGAGATCGACCTTTTATCACCTGAAATGTTGGTTGATGATAGAATAGGCTTGAATTTCTGGACTTAGAAGCAACTCTTTCAGGAAAGTCAGTTCTAGTAATGAAGTGATAGAAATGGTAGTATGCTTTTTCTTAGCAATGTTATTGTGTAGAATATTGGTTGAGGATGGGACATAATAGGAACTAGATCAACTAATAAGTCATTGTAAACTACCAACAACAACAATAACAACATACTCGGTACAATCATACAAGTTGGGTATGAGAGTGTAGAAAGTACGCAGACACTTATCCCTACATACTTAATGGGATAGAGAGGTTATTCTAGATAGACACTCGTCTCGAAAGAAAAAGAAGAATTTGAAGCATGATTATTAGAAAATAAGATGAAAAAAATCATGAGAATACAGAACTGTTGGTGTAATATACCACAAATATAATAAATTACAGTTGAAAATAAAATGACAAAAATGAATAAACAAATTAGGTTGTGTTTACCTAACTATATTATTAGTGTTTAAGAAAATGGGCCTTGGGCTCACAACTAAGCTAGTTCATATTGTGAAATTTTTCTAAGATCATATGAATAAACGATAATTCATTCCCTCAATCAATTTGAGTCTGCAACACATCGTCCAATGCATGGATCTAGACATTTGAAGGGTGAACTATATAACCTAGGAGCCAATATTGGGTTAGCTCATAAGGTGATTATCCTGTTTTACTTTCTGTTTCAAAAATTAGTTCA